AAACTTATATCATATCATAAACTACAATCTTTAAGCTTCAATTTAACATACAAATCATATCATGATTCTTAAAAATGCAGATGATATGGTTTTTTGAAAATTTCGTACTTTTTGATTTATAAATATGACAATTTTTTCTTCAACAATTTATTCCTGGAAATTTCATTAATATTATCTCATAGTTTTTATATCACATCATAAAGTACAATCTTTAAGCTTCAATTTAACATACAAATCATATCATGATTCTTAAAAATGCAGATGATATGGTTTTTTGAAAAACCATACAATTTTTCTTTAAAATTTTTTCCTGGATATTTCAAAAATATTAACTAATAGTTTTAATATAATTTCATAAACTTGAAGCTTTAAGCTTCAATTTAACATACATATCATATCATGATTCTTAAAAATACAGATGTTATGATTTTTTGAAAATTTGTGTTAGTTTTGATTTATAAATTAGACAATTACTTCTTCAACATTTTTTTCCTGAAAATTTCAATGATATAATCTAATACTTTTTATATCATATCATAAACTGCAATCTTTAAGCTTCAGTTTATCATACATATCATATCATGATTCTTAAAAATGCAGATAATATGATTTTTTGTAGATTTCGTATTCTTTATGACATATAATTTTGGCAATTTCTTCTTCAACAATTTATTCCTGGAAATTTCATTAATATTATCTCATAGTTTTTATATCATATCATAAACTACAATCTTTAAGCTTCAATTTAATATACATATCATATCATGATTTTCAAAATTATAGCAGATATGATTTTTTTTAAATTTAGTATTATTTTTGACAGTTACTTCTTTAATAATTTTTTTCTGGATATTTCAATAATGTTACCTATCAGTTTTCATATATTATCATAAACTACAGTCTTTACACTTCAATTTAACATACAAATCATATCATGATTCTTAAAAACATAGATGATATGGTTTTTTGAAAATTTCATATTCTTTATGATTTATAAATTTGA